ACACTCAGAATACAGAAATCTCTGATTCATCTTAATGTCCAGGCCTCACATCTTATAAAAAAAAGAGACTGATTGAGTACACAGACAATCCATGGTCATGGAAATAAAATTCTTATTACTTGACATCTTCCTGCAGTTCTCCTGCTAGGACGTGACACAGCATTGTGTAATAGCGCATGATGTGATGAGCACCTGGTTTTGGAATGGGAAGAAAAGGTAGCCCAACGTCTTTCAGGTGTCCTTAACATTCCATGATTCCAGGGGAAAGGTAGGCAAGACACAGTAAGCTGTCTGTGATTGGCTAGCTGGAATCTCCGGCAGATGCACCTAGATGGTATGTAAGATACTTCCCCCTAACGTGCGTCATTCCCTTTTCTCCAGAAACCAGGTGAAATTCCACTGGTTCACTAACGTTTGTTCAAGTTCCGTGGGGCTTTAGACATAAGTTTAACACAGTTCTCTATGGGGGTTCACATATTTCGGACTTCCTTTGTAGGGGGTCAGTTAATTAAACACCCAGGCTAACCCAGAGTAATTGCTCTCTTGTTTGGTAGATCTACCCTTCAAAACTGACAAGGAGCTAGCAGATCACTTCACTTCCAGCATCTGCTTCTTTTTAAGTTCCTTTCGTTTAAAATAATCAGCTAGCCATACCACATGCTTTGGATTACTTTCTGAGAAGCCATTGCAAACCAAAGCACAAAGCCAGGGGTGGCATTACAAATTATTCACCCCCCCCACACACACACACATTTTGAACGCAGAGGCAGACAGGTCTGCAGACCTAGTTTCTGGAAAGCCAGGGCCACACTGGGAAACCCTCTCTCAAAAAAAAAAAAAAAAAAAAAAAAAAAAAAAAAAAAAAAAAAAAAAAAAAAAAAAAAAAAAAAAAAAACAACAAAAAAAAAAAAAAAAAAAAAAAAAAAAAAAAAAAAAAAAAAAAAAAAAAAAAACCACAAAAAACAAACAAACAAAGAATACTTATGTTGGTAGGCATGGTGGTATACAACTTTAATCTTAGCAGTTGGGAGGCAGAGCAGGCAAAATTTTGTAAGTCCAAGGCCAGCATGTGAACACCAGGTCAGTCAGTGCTACCTGAACAACTCTGTCTTAAAAACAAACAAAAAATTATCTTGAACCTCCTTAATTACTTAGGAGTGAATGGTTCTTGATCTCTAGGAGTAAATTTGCTAATTAGGAAAGGGAATGGATACAACACAGCAAGTCTCAGGGTTATTACAGGGACTTTTAATAAGGTTTCTAGATGAATACCTAGTGTTTTAGTAGCAAGAGAAACATGTGGTTATAGGAAAATGTCAGATTTCACATCACACAGAAGGCATGTATCAATTCATTTAGTCCCTTTTTGTTTGCTTCTGTGTCACAAATTGGCCCCATCCTCCCTGTGTAGCAAGGGTAACCTAGGACATTGATCCACCTGTCTATATCTTCTAAGTGCTAGGATAATATTTGTGTCCTATCATGTCTGGTTTATGTGGGGCTGTAGATCAAACAGGGGACTTCGTACAAACCTGGACATCATAGTAAAACTATTCCTATTTTTTTTTTTTTGTATTTTAGTGGAGATTAGCTATGCAACTGTCACTGGCCTAGAACATGCTATGTAGATCAGGCTAGCCTCAGACTCACAGATGTCCACCAGCCTCTGATAATGAAGTCCTGAAATTAAAGATGTATGGTACAACTGGCCTTTTTATTTTATTCATTGATTGATTTGCTTACTTTTCGAGATAAGGTATATAACACCGGGTTTCAGTGAACTTACCATACAGACAAAATGTCTTTGAACTGATGCCTGTCTCTACCTCTAAGAACTGGGATCGTAGGTTTACAATTCAGCCTGAGCATTGTGGCTTATGACTGCCATGTACATGCTTGCTACAAATTGATTAACATTATTTTACATGGATAGATATTTGTATTTCAATTTGGGATGTAAGTAGGCAGAGTAGTATAGAGTTCTTTTGATTATTGTTCAATTTTGATTATTATTGTTATTGTCCATTCATAGTCTTCAAATCCCTACAGGCCTATATAGTCTCTCATGCACAGTCCGTAATCACCATCTTTCTTGGTGCTAGGATTAGAGGTATGTGCCATACCTTTCCCCTAGCTGAACTTTAGTTCTTTTTTCATCAGAGAGTCACTGTGTTCTTCAAGTTTGGCTGGTACTCATAGAAATTCGCCTGCATCGGTCACCCAAGAGCTAGCCTTATAGGATGAACTACAATGACTAGCTTAAAACATAGGTCATTAATGCAACTTAATGGTTAGTTTTTCAGCATTGACAAAGTCATGGTCAAAGTCACTTTGTTTTGTGATTTTGAGGACAGCCTCACTCTGTTTTCCAATTTGAGCTGGAACATACTGTTTTGCTCAAGGACATCAACAATTCACGGTAAACATCCTGCCTCCCATTTCTGAGATAATAGGAATGAACCACTGTTTTTAGTCTAAGGTGGCCTCATTACTTTAAATTCTTTTCCGCTTGCAGTAAGTTTTCAGGTCTTAGGTCTTAGTCATACTCAGGTGCACTAAATTGCCGCTCCACCCCCAAGGGACTTGCGTGTTAGCACATCTATATTGCCAGGACTGTGAATCACTGTAGGAATCTGAGGCCAGCCTGGTCACATAGCAAGTTACAGGCCAGTGAGAGCCACATGCTGAGACCTTACGTAAATAACAGAAAAACAATGGCTGGGGTTTTACTTTGAAGTTGAGACTTGCAAAGTTTGCTGATTTCCAGCACCACTTAATTCCTGATTTCGTTTAGCATAGTCTACATGGTGGATTCCAACCTAGGACAGAGCCTGTCTCAAAATCTTCCCCACCTGGGAAAATGAAAACCACCCCCAGCTAGAGATACAGAGGATTTTCCAAGCACACCTGGCTTGGATTAAGACCCTGAATTAGAAAAGCAATAACAAAATTTACCCCCAACCAAGATACGATTGTCTTTTTTATTTTTCCCTAAGCACTCTCAAATTGTGTTTTTTTCATTTGCATTTCCATGTGTTTATCTGATTGACAGTTTTTAAATTTTATTTTGTGAGGACTTCCATTTGAATGCTTTCCCTCTGACAAAAACAGGGATGATTTGAGTTTATGACTTTGTTGAATATTCTGAAAATTAAACCCTAGTCTGTTTTCTTTTTTTTTTTTTTTTTGGCAAATGACTTCTTCCAGCCTACTTTGCTTTTTTCCCCCCACTTTCTGAAGAGTGTTTTGAAACAAAATCTCTTATGTAACTCATGAAATCTCACCTCTTACTTTTTTTATTGTTTTTGTTTTACCTGAAATATCTAATAATCTGTGATCAGAAATATATACTGATTTTCTTCTAAATTATTCATATTTTAAATTCTATAGGCAATATCCATTTTAGTTTTTGTATTTAATGTAATGAAGGAATCTTGATCAGATTTTGCAAGTTTTCTATTGTCAATACTATTAAAATATTTCTTGTGTCAGATTTTATGTCCTAAAAGTTTATAAACCATATCCCTAACAGTTTGACATTAGAGTAAATTGCTTATGTTTGAAGTGATCAAATGATTGGAGATACAGTAGCATCTAGTAATCTATTCAGATAAATTTGACCGACCAACTCAGGCCTATAATTAATATGTTATTATTTTCAATCAGTGAGTCAAACATCATGTTTATTTGTGCTGTTTGCAAGGTTCCTTGGGCCTTTTCTGGAATCTGAAATCTTTTTCTTTTATTTCTTTTAAAAAATATAAACCTAGAACACATTGGCCGAGTATCACAAATATATTTTAAATCGAGAGAGAATAAATTCAAAGGCATGGATTTTTGACTCCATGAACACATCTCCATGGTCCATACCATTAGTTACTTTTTCATTTTATTTTGTAAGTTGTTCCTAATATAGTCAACATTCAAAATAATTTCATATACAAATAGTTAAAAATAATAAAAGTGTTAGTTAGATTAAAATTATTAAATATTGTTTGGAAGTGCTTTGATAAATCTGAGACTTTATTATTGGTAAGCAAATGATTTCCATAATCACCTCTGTATACTGACAATTTTGTATCATTCAGTCTAGTAGGTTATTATTTACATCAGGAAGCTTTAACGTTTTTGCTTGTATGTAAATAAATTTTTTCACCAGTTTTTAAAAGTTCAGGTTGTTGTTGAGGTGAAAACTGACTGTCATTCAAGCTGAAAATAGGAAATTAGGGAATGGAATTGTAGCCCACTGGAGAGAGAACATTAGCTACACATATCCATTAGAATACCTCACCAACAGTTCGGACAGGTGGTCAACAAGAAAGTCTACAGTTATGTTAAACATTGTGTAATGTAGCTTCCTTAGTTTTCTGTGCTTGGCATTTTCTTTCCCTAAACAACAAAATACCTGCATATTGAAGCTAAACAGCAGAACAATGCTTTAATCCCAGCACTCGGGAGGCACAGGCAGTAAGATCTCTGAGTTTGACGTGAGTGCCACCTACAGACCGTGTTCTAAAGCTACACAGAAAAACAGTCTCCAAAAGCCTAAACTGAAAAAAAGGGCGGGGGGGGGGGTGTAATTTTCTGTACAGGGTGTGTTCTCTAAATTATCATTCTAAAAATATGTCTCAATATGTGGCATGTAATCACATATAGCAAAAAAACTTGATGTTTTAAAATCATGTTTTATCGCTCATTGATGCTTGCTTGCAACCACTACGGAACTAAAATTTATTCTTTATTTTAAACATATTTAAAAACAGGTACTTGTGGCCAATAGCCCATGTTGACAACTATTTTATCAAAATATTCGCTCAAGTTACTATCGTAGGAATGCTCGGGGACTGGTAGCCATTTCTTTGCAGGTCACTGGGGTCAGGCAGTGGAATTTCTGCACTGCGGCAAACTACGTGCGCATGTGCGGTCATTGGCTGTGACGCGCATGCGTTGCGTTGGGTTCTGCGTGATAAGACGGAGCCGCTGCGGCAAGTCTGGCGCAGAAGAAGGGAGGCAGCTGGAGATGTCAGACGCTACCTTCTAAGGAGCGACTCATAACGCGATGGAGCGAGGAAGGTCAGCTGGGCCCGTGGCGCTTTTCGCTGTGAGGCTGTTGCATTTTTACCAAAATAATTCTAGGTTTGGGAGGAACGAGTTATATTTCTTTTTGAGAATTAGAATTTTGGACCGGTTAGACGGACTCATTTGGGTCGGGGGGGGGGGGGCAATGTCAGGTCTGCGCTGTAAGGCGTTACCAGTGACTGTGGGCTCCCGTGTGAGGGAGCCGTGCTGCAGCAGGATTGTACTGCGCAGTGGTGGCCGAGGTCCGCGGTTATCCGCGGTAGTCCGTGGTCATCCGCAATCTCTTGCTGCGGCCGTGAGGGAAGGTGACCATGGTCCGCAGATGCGGCACTGGGAGAAGGTGAGCAGCATCCATGACTGCGACACAGGGTGGGGGAGGGGAGCAGGGTCCACGATCCGCGGCCCTCGGGGAAGGTGGGCAGGTTCCGCGATCTGTTGCCGCGGCACTGGGGGGAGGTGACCATGGTCCGCAGATGCGGCTCTGGGAGAAGGTGAGCAGCATCCTTGACTGCGACACGGGGCAGGGGGAAAGGAGGCAGGGTCCGTGATACGCGGCCCTGGGGAAAGGTGGGCATGGTCGGAGGATGCGGCGCTGGGAGGTGAGCAGCGTCCATGACTGCGACACAGGGCTGGGGGGGGGGAGCAGGGTCCGCGATCTCCTGCTGCGGCCCTAGTTAAGGCGACCACGGTCCATGGACGCGGCAAGGAGTGGGGGTGGGGGAGCCTGGTCGGCTGTACGGTGAGCAGCCTTGGTACTGGGGAAAGATGAGCAGTGTCGGCAATTAGAGGCCGCGGCACTCGAGAAAGGATGCACAGGATTAGGATCCGCGGCACTGGGGGAAGATGAACCAGATCCGTGACTGCAGCACAGTGTAAGGGGGAAGGAGAACAGGGTCCGCGATCTGCGTCACTGGGGGAAGGATGCGCTGCATCCGTAACTGCGGCACAGGGTTGGGGGAGGGGAACAGCAGGGTCCGCGATCTGCGGCACTGGGGAAAGATGAGCTTGTTCCCCGATCTGAGCCTGAAGCACTGGTCAAAGGATGCGCAGGATCCACGACTGCGGCACAGGGCAGGCCAAGGTGAGCGAGGGAGGGGGAAGGCAAAGGGGAGAGTCCGCGATCCGCGGCACAAGGCAGGGGGAGGGGACCAGGGTCCGCGATCTGTGGCACTGGGTGAAGGTGAGCAGTCTGCGGCTAGTCGGTGGTTCGCCCGGTGACCGCCTCGACCGCTTCAGTGTGCAGGTGGTTTTGCGCAAGAAGATCCTTGTGGCTGAGGGAAGTGATGGCGTGGCCAGGTTGTGGCTGGCCAAAGTGCTTTTGAATCACGGTGCTTTTTGAATACCCGGCCGTGGGAAGGACCCTAGGAGCGCATTGGTTCTGTCAGGGTGTGGCCCCCGTGGGGGGGGGGTCTGCAGTGGTGGATCTGTGGAATGATCCAGTGCTAGGGGGGAGGGGTGGGAACGGACCTTTCCGGACGACCATACCTCCGTTTCCAGTTTTTTTTTTTTTTTTTTAAATTTTCTTGCAGTCTCCTCTGTCAATCGGTGGCGTATTGTGTTTGTATTGGTTCCTTTTGTAGAATTATTCTTTGCCTGCAGGAGAGTGAGTGGCGAAAGCCGCAGTGTTTTCTTGTTTATTTGGTCACTAAACACCCCTCACTGCAGGGGTTAATGTATGAAATGTATGTAAAACTTGCTAAAACCCAAACCAGGAACAGTAGCAGTGACAAAACCATGTGTCTTTTGGTTTTTATTCTTTTTTCCTGGCATTCGGGATTGAATCTTTGCATGTCTTGGTATTATCAAGGGGGTCGTGTCCAGTGTCAAACGCCATTGTGAGATTCCCTAAAGATGGCCGCTGCTGCAGAGGTGTTGGTGTGCGCAGGCGCGGCTGGTGGGGGGGGGAAAGCGGGGGAGCAGACCCCTCCCCACCTGGCTGCTCGTCACACGGCGAGCCACCTGCCTGTCAGTTCCGCAGTGTTGGAACTGCAGCCACACCCTCGTCTCAGGACCGCAGGGACAGAGCCTCCTTCTGGTGTCTTCTCCCACCCTCAGCGTCCTGTGGTGGGCACAGGAAAACCACATGCGGTAGGGATGACACGCACCTCCGCCTGCATGGAGGCCAGGAGGGAGTGGACTGAGGGATGGCGCAGCATTGGCGTGGAGAACCTGGCGGCCATATCCTTAACCTGCTGCATTTAAGCTTCTTTGCCCCTCCCTGCAGTGTCGCAATGGGGGGGGGGGGGAGGCTGATTTGCGCAGGTTCTTTCTCACAGGCTTGGTCCTGGGTTTTCTATTACCTTAAGGAATGGAAGGCATGTGGGGGGGGGGTCTAGAGGTTTGTGTGACGTATTCCGTATTCCTGTGTGTCAGAAAGCATCTTCGCTGTTTCGCAGTAGAATGGTTGGATATTACAGCCAGCTCAAGACCTGTTGATGATGCCTTAAGATAGCCTTCCCTCCTGGGTAGGATAAATTTATATTTGAATTTATATTAACGCTCACGTATTATTTTTAATACTTTTCTACTGTTCTGAATGAGATTTGCTATTTTTAAGGCAGATTGAATAATTCATAAAACAGCTTTTGGCTTTGTGTATTCTCGTCGATTTCTATTTTCCAGATATAAAAATTAACAGTTGCTTAATGTGATATTTTGTCATCCATTCTTAATGCTTTGGTAGTTTAATCTCTCTCAGTACATGGCTTAAGAGTTATTCCCCAAGGATAATTTTTATGCATGTATTAAATTAATGATATTTTTCACGATTTGAAATTGAAGCTACTCTGAAAATATGAAGGAATAATGAACCAAGTAACTGTATTGTTTATTAAACTTGTTTTTAACTTTGAGACAGGATTGCGATGTAATCCACATTCATTTCAGATATGGAATGTATCTCAGGCTGCCCTGGAGCTGGTGATCCAACCCTTTTGCTTCTGTATTCCAGTGAACCACAGATGTGAGTGACTGCGCTTGGATTGAAGTTTTTACATTTAATTTTTTTCCAGGATTTTTATGTACTTGCTTTATTTTTCGGTCTTGTTTTCCTTCTCCACTATGAGTAGATAGTATATGTTTGTAATTTTTAAAAAGATAAATCTAGAAGATTAACTTTTTTATTTTTTGTTTCTTCTGACAGTCTGTAGCCCAGGTTGCCCATGAACTTGTGATCTTCATACTTCAGGGGCCATACTTCAGGCAGTGAAATTACATTAACAATATTGTATGGAATATAGCTTATTAAGTCTTTGTTAGGCCGTAGGAATATACTGCTTCTAGTATGTTTTGGCTCAATTTCCGTTTGTGTCTTTATGAACTGCCTAATTTGGCCCACCATTTTGTAAATGATGAATCAGATACTTTTGATTATGCCTTGTCTTAAGTAGTTAGCTTCTAATAGAATTTGCAGGTGACAGTGGACAGTGATTTGCCATAAAAAATTAATACTATGCACAAATTTTCCTTCACATTTAAGTTTTCCTTATGCATGTTGGCATAATTAGGCATTTTATAAAGCACCATTTTTTGATATGAATGCCTACATTTGCATTAAGCCAGCATTTTCAAAAATAAACTTAGATGATTTGTATATAAAAGTTAGGTTTAGAAAATTGAAATAATAAAATAGTTTTGCATTGATGACTAAATGACTGAGCCATTTTCACACTGAGGAACTCATAGGAAATGGTAATAAATGACTTTTGACAATATTCTTTGGGGTTATAATTTGATATTTACTCTATCCAACAATTATAAAATCTTCCTGCTGGCACTCACCTGTAACTCCTACCACTAAGGAGATTTAAGTAGTGTATCAGGAAATCAATGACATCTTTAGCTTCACAGTAAGTTTTAAGACAACGTAGGCTACATGAGAGACCTTTGTCTCAGAATATTAAATTATCAAATAGATTTCTGTTACAGCCTGGATCAGTTCTCCATTTTCCTTTGTGTAAGTGAATGTACTGTAGTGTAAATGATCATATCTGGTTTTATTTGTCCTTAGTAGACATTTAAAATGACAGTTACTAACAACACTAGTGAGGATATATGTGATACTGGGTTGGTATTTACTGTTCCATCACTGCAGTAGAATTGCAGGGTCACCAGTCTAATGTCACTGGTCCTTTATTAATTACTCTAGGCTTAGTACAGCTTTGCATTTTCATTATATTTCCCTGCATTGTGCACGCTGTCATTATCAAATGATATCTCACAATATTTATGACTTAATTTCTCTTATTAATGATATAACATGTATTTCATGCTGATTGGCCAACTAAATATGTTATCAGGAAACCCATTGAAAAGGCAGCTTTTTGTAATTTTTTTAATGTATGTAATTTAAAGATGTAAGAACTATTTTGCTCTGAGGTATGTCTGCCACCTGGAATGCCATGAATATTTATCCATCATTCCTGAAAGGTCCAGCTCCACTATTTTCTAATTATGTTTTGTTTTGCCCTAAAAAATTAGATTTCAATCAATTACATAATTTACCATTTTTTCTTTTGGGGACTATACCACTCTGCAGTCCAAGTTATTAATACCTATAAGACTTTGGCCTTAGTGGTATCAGGTATGTTTCATGATACTATGCAATCTTAATTAAAATTCAGTTTATTTGATTTGTTTATAATTTTATCATGTGGAAATCTTAACATTAAATTTAAAAAAAATGTATTTGGATGTTTTGGCATTTCCAGTTCTAAACAGCAAAACAACTGAATTGCTGGTAAAATGCTTAATCTAAAAATTTAGCTACTTTTAAATATAGATATGATTCAGAAAATTGGCATTCGGATTCTTCTATTAAGAATCATTCTTGACTTGTCAGAAGCCTTTCTATTTGTCTCTTGGTTTCATATGTCTAGTTTCTGTCTTAGGAACATTTCCTACCGGTCCTAACATGGCCACCCTGCTGCTGCTGTTGATGCGATTGACTGCACAGCCATTTTGTGAAGTGCTCCCAGCTAGTTGATAGCATTTTGCTTAAGCGACCCTCCTATTTCTTTCTAAATCCCATGACCGCTACATTTATGTAGAGGTTGATGTGTGTCTGTCATAGGGAGGGGCAGCTCACATGCTATGGCACATATGTAGAGGTCCACCTGATTTTTGTGGAGTATGTTCTCTTCTACCTTTTCAAGGGTCCAGGGATCAATCTTTGATTGTCATGTTTGTATTAGTGGCTGGCAATTAAGCTTTATATACTGAGCCACTTTTACCAGTGCTGCATTTTTTTTTAATGGCAGGATTCATGGAGCTTAGACTCTTTGAAGATAGCTGAGGTTGGTACCCTTGTCTTACTTCCTTAGTGCTGAGATTACAGGCATGTCCTGACACCCCTGATGATGCCCTGATGGGAATTGAAGGTGGGGCTTCCTGCTTCCTAGGCAAGAAATCTATAAATAATACATTTATTAAATCGTTCCTTTTCTGTTTCAGGGATCGCTTACACCTGAGAAGAACTACTGAGCAGCAGGCGCCCGAGGTGGAAGTCCAGGTCAAGCGTAGACGGACAGCCTCACTGAGCAATCGGGAGTATGTAAACTCTAGGTTGTGAACCAAAATGACAATAGCAGCATAAAAGAGGAGATTAGAGTGACGTAATGGACTACCCAATGCAGAAGTTATAACAAAATACTGAAACTTTTCATTGTATTCTAACTTAAATCAACATTATCGTTTATTTAATTCCTTTTTCTTGCACAGGGTCTCTGTCTGTGCAGCCATGGCTGGCTTGAACTCTCAGAGAGTCTGCCTCCACGACAGGAGTGCTAGATTTAAAAGCATGTGCCACCACCACGCATGGCTCTTTAACTCCTTTTCGTGGAATTTGACTTTCCCCCTGATATTTCAATTTTAAAAGTGTTGCTTCCTTTTTTCCTTTATTTTTTTTGCTGAGCAGGGATTAAAATTAGGGCAAGAGCTTTCTTTTTATTTCTTCACATGTAAGTGAGTTTTACCTTTAGAATTTTATTCACTAAATACCTATTATTCATAAAGGAGTAATTTTAATAACATTTATTTTATGTGCATTTTTTTGCGTGAATGTCTGTATGAGGATGTTGGGTCTCCTGCATTCCATTACAGACAGTTGAAAGCTCCTATGTGGATGCTGGGAATTAAACAAGAATCCTGGAGAGCAGTCAGTGCTCTTAATCCCTGAGCCATCTCTCTAGCCCTTATCTAGGTTATTTTATGATGTTCATTTTCTAGGTTTTTGGGTTTTTTTTTTTTTTTTTTTTGCTTTGCTTTGCTTTGCTTTTCAAGACAGGGATTCTCTGAGTAACAGCTCCATCTGTCCTGGAACTAGCTCTTGTGTGCCAGACTGTCTTGAACACACAGATCTGCTTTCCTCTGCTCCCACCACTGCTTGGCTCATTTTCTGTTCTTAGAAATGCTTTTTTTTCTGCATTGATAGGACATTAATTTACACAAACTTATTTTTGTTTTGAGACAGATAGTCTATGCTGCCCTTGACATCATCTCAAAGCAAAGTATAATCTTATGGTCAGATCATACTCTCAAAATATTAATGAGTTTTAAATGTATATTTACACATCACATGTATAAATATTGAAATTTATGTTATAGGATGTCTGTTATTGACGTCTTTACCTATTTATATATCTTTGTCTTGCTGTTCTATTTTTTATTGATTGATTGAAAGATTGATTTATCAATCTGTCTATATTTATTGGATTGATGGGCTATTGGTGATTGATTGACTAGCTTCTTGATCTATTTCTTGGCTTGCTCATCTATTCACATTTATTTATTGGCTTGTTAATCTGACTTTCTGACCTATTTGTCCATTTATTCATTATCCATAATTTATATATTTATGGATTTCTGGTATATTAATTGATTGACTGATTTAACTGAGTGAGTGATTAACTCCTTGATTTATTTATTGGCTTGTTGGTCTATCTATCGCCATCTTGAACTATTTGATGGGTTGCTGGTCTGTTGATTTAGCTTGTGGATCCATTTAGTTAATAGCTTGCTAGTCTATTGATTTGCTTGCTTGATTGATTAGCTTCAAGTTCCCTTTTTGGTTCATATATTACCTAACTGCAGTGTTATATTTAGTAACTAAATGGCTATCTTTTAAAATATGTTAGCATTTTTCTGGTGATCTTTTATAAAATTAGGCTCTTATAGAATAAAATGTCTATTTTCATTCTTATTACTATCTACATAGATGAATGCCATTTTGTGATGTAAAAATATTGTGCTCTTGCCCTAGGTGCCACCTGTACCCACGTCGCGCTCAGCAGCAGCAGGTTCCTGTGGTGGATTTCCAGGCAGAACTGAGACAGGCTTTCTTAGCTGAGACACCAAGAGGTGGTTAAAGCAGTATTGAAACATCAAGGAGGTGGAAGTCAAGGAAAACAGGTTAGAGTTAATTCGAAAGTAAAACAAACAATAGGGTATCTAGAGTTTAATTGATGCAGTTACCTTTTTAAGGGCTTTATATACACAATAACCTTTTTTAAAAGCTTTATATACACCAGCACTAGACACACATCAGAGCAATTTTATACAATGAACATTTATTTATTATTTTTATGCATTTTTTTGAGACAGTTTCTCTGTATAACAATTCAAGTTGGCTTCAATCATTGGTAGACCATATGGCCTCAAATTCACTGTGGTCCACCTGCCTTGGCCTCCCAAGTACTAGGAATAAAAACTGTGCCACCACCATCTGACTCAAAAATTAAATTTAAAAATATATGTATGTGTGTGGTATTTTGTTTGCATGTCTATGTACCGTGTATATAGAGAGTCCAGAGCAGAACCTCAGATCTGCTGAACCCTAGAGTTGGAAATAAGTGTCAGACTTTGTGTTGCCTGAAATTAAACTCAGGTCCTGTGGAAGACATGCTCTTGTTCTTTTTTAAAAAATAAAGTAACATTTATTTATTGTGTATATAGTGTTCTACCTTCATGTATCACCAGCGCTCCTTACAGGTTTTGGTGAGCCACCAAATGGTTGTTGGGAAGGTTGACCTCAGGACCTGGATGAACAGCCAATATTCTTAACAGCTGAACCATAGCTCCAGCTCAAGCTAGTGTTTTTTTAAAAATATTTATTTATTTGTTATGTATACGACATTCTGCCTTCATGTATGCCCACATGCCAGAAGAGGGCACTAAATGTCATTACAGATGGTTGTGAGCCACCATGTAGTTGCTGGGAATTGAACTCAGGACCTCTGGGAGAGCAGCCAGTGCTTTTAACCACTGAGCCATCTCTCCAGCCCCCTCAAGCTAGTAGTCTTACCTGCTGAGACATATTTATGCCCCAAATTAATTTGTAAGAACATTTTCACATGCTTATAATTACATTTAGCATTTTCATTAGCATGTGTCCCATATGCCCTTTGTGTGTAATCATGGATTCACTCTGGCAAGAAAGCCTTAAGAGCTAAATGTTGAAATTATGGGCATGTAATATAAATACTATAATTATTTCAGGTTTTATTTATTTATTGAGACAGGATCTCACTATGCACCCTGGACTGACCTAGATAGAACTCACTTTGTGAAACAGGGTGAGTTGAACAAATAAAACGTGGGCCTTAGGTGTTTAGTTCTAGGTTTTACAAGTTTATTTGATGTTTATGGTGTTTTGCATGCATGCATGTCTATGTACCATGTGTGGACAGAAGAGAGCATCAGATCTGGAAATGGAGCTAACATGGTTGTGAGCTGCCATGTAGGTGCTGAAATTAAAGCTGGATCCTCTGGAAGAGCAGCCACTATACTTAACTACTGAGTAATCTCTATTCTTTCATGATTTATTTATTTGTAGACAGGTTCTAATTGACTAGGCAGGAGATCTCTGTGTAGAACAAGTTGTCCTTAGACCCATAATCTTCTGTCTGCCTCACGGGCTGTGAGGCATGTGCCACTTTACCCCACATTCATTGTCATCTTCATATATGTGCACAGTTTATTTAAACTCTGTCCAGTCCCAACTCTTAACTTCTCCTGAACCTTCTATCTAGTGCTCCTTTTCAATTGCTTTTCCCATTTTTTAACTAACTGTTCACCTAGTGCTAGCCATGGAGATTTGGGCTGTGAGCTGTATCACTGAAGTACTAACATCCTCACCATTTTTTTGTCTGCATGGAAGAAAAGGATGAGGCCTCATAAGCCCACCCCATCCATGTTGGACTGTTGATTGGCTAGTCTAGTGCATGCATCTGTATATACTTAGCATACGAGTTCATAAGTGCAGCAGCTCTGCAGTGCCAAGAAGACACTATTTCCCAGAAGGCCTCTGAGGTCTTCCTCTTTCTACCCCTTCTGGGATGGCCTTTCAGAGAGGGTGGTGGGGTGTGATAAGACTTAGGACTGAGCAATCTATTATCGTTTATTTTGTGCACTTTGAACAATTCCAAGCCTATTGACTGACCACCATTGTCTGTGTAAAGAAGTTCTCTGATAAAAGGTGAGAAATGAATAATGTATGGGTATGAGACAGTGTTTGGAAGGACACTGAAACTATGTCAAATAGAAGTTGTAGCTTTTCCAATAGCCCATCTGTTCTCAACTGTGGGGTTCTTGGCATGCCCTCCCTGTGAAGTGAGTATGAATTTCAATTATTTATTACTGAAAATAAACATTGTGTGTGTTTTCAGGAAACTACAGAGGCTGGAGAGGGCATCAGAATCCCCTGGATCTGGAGATGGAGAAAGATACTGATAAGTTGTCATGTGGATTATGAGAACTGAACTTGGGTCCTCTGCAAAATCATAGCAGGAAGCTCTCAGCCCACTGGGCCATCTCTCCACGCTGTTTTCAGTTTTTAAAATGTAGTCAATTTAGCTGGGCATGGTGTTGCATGCCTTTAAACACAGCACTTGGATGACATACATAGGTGAATCTCTGAGTCCCATGTTGGCCAAATATACATTATGAATTCCTTTACATTGTCTCAAAAGTCTAGAAAATGAATTATATGCCATTTAATTTAGAATGTAGTTCAGTTATACAAACATAACATTCATGCCACCATTGTACCAATGGTCATGCATTACCCAGCTGATTGTTACTGTAGAGCACAGGTTTCACAAACAGGTATGACTGACTTCACCAGCTTACTGTACTTCTCATATCGAAAGCTTGCCAGCAGTTAGGAAGCTTCTGGCTTAGTTCCAGTTTGATATTTTTATTGTATGTAAATAAAAACTGGTATCTTCAACAATCAGACTTGTCACCAAGTGGGAAACATAAAACAATTGCAATAGGCTATATTATTTATGGGGAATCTGCCACCAGACTGCACTTGGCAAACTCAAAGGGAGATATTTATTTCACACTTCACACAGTGTGATGCAGTGTGGCTTCTGTGAGAAATATTATCCCCATGTAACTACAATTAAATGATTTTTTTAAAAAAATCATTTAAATTTGGTTTTCCGAGACAAATTTTCTCTGTACCTTTGGGGCCTGTTCTGGAACGCACTCAAGCTGGCTTCAAACTCAGAGGTCTATCCACTTTAAACTGCATCCCGAATGCAAGGATTAAAGGCATGAGCTACCATTGCACAAACAATACATATTTTTAGAAAGTGCAATATCAAGTTTTTGGAACATTTTTCGTGAGTTATATTGCTCATACTCCAGGATTCTATGTCACTTTCCTGTTCTACTTCCTCAGGGTAGCATGAAGATTAAAAATTGAAGGGATAATCTCATGTGAGCAGAGGGACTGAGACAAAATGAGAAATACAGATTCAGGATGGGCTTAGACTTTGTGAAGCCTATTCTCTGTGTTAAGAGAAATAGTTTCTACTCTCATGGTTAAACTTCAGATTCTCATTTAAACTTCTAGTTAAAACTGGGCAGGGTGGCCTTATGATCTTAGCACACAGAAAAGGCTAAAGAATGGGATGAAAAATTCCAGATGAGGCTGAAATAAATAGAAGGAAATATTATCAAATTTTAGGCTTTATCCTGCAATGAGTATCTACCAGAGAGCTGTATTCCAAGCTCGTAATTGTATTTTATATTTACTTTAAAGTGTCTGCCGCCTAGCCATTGAACTTCTGTTTCATCATAATGAATATGCTGATTGCAACCATATGCCCGAGGTTCTGCTGATTATTGTCATACTTGTCTCCTGGTGGGAAAAGATTACCCATTTTGATTTTAAAGAGGCAGCCTATAGTTTTAGACATGTTAAATAAAAAAGTATATTTTTGAACTAAGGAATAAATAGGACACCAATTAAATTTAGGGATGAAAAAATGTAGGTGTTTCTGAAATACATTGTGTTAAAAAATATTGATATTTTAAAAATGTGCTTTTCTTCCAAAATAGAAGATGTGGTTTTCTAAGCAATTTTATAAAAACCTAGCAACAGTGATTCGAGAGATGTCTCATTGGTTTCTGCAGAAGACCTGGGTTTTGTTTCCAGCACCCACATGGAGGCTCAAAACTAACTGTAACTTCAGTTCCTAGGAATTTGATGCCATTTTCTGACTTTGAGCACCAGGCACATGTATATAAAAAATATATACAAAGAGACGAGAATTTTTATTTTTTTTAAATGCTGTAACCACTGCTTAGAAAGCCAGAGACTCAATGGCTTTCTGGAGCGTAATTAAATTCCGGGTTTACATGTTAGCCAGAAATTAGTCAGCGTTTATATCTGGCCACTAAAATACATCTACTGAGCTACACAGCCAGGGATGCTTAGCAATACTGGTAACCAATTGGTTTCATAGATCTAGCAGGTTAAAGGATTAATAAGAAAAGGGCTAAAATTTGTTTGTTAGAGATGAAGTTATACTATTTGAATATTTATTTTTAAAGCATAGTAGATGGAAGTACAGTTGTAATTTTCTTCCCTCTGCAGGACCGATCCACTATCTTTAAAATCACCAGTCAAGCTTACATTGTGTCTAAGCAAACCTGCATCACACCTTTATTTATAACCCTCCCCAAAGTGTTAAAGATCTTGAAATTTTACTATTGGAGCGTCTATTGTGGAAAAGCAATCATGGTGAGTTGTACATTACAGAGTTGGATAGCTGCTGTAGTAACCTCATAATTTTTCATTGTCTAGTTTTTGAGACTGTAAAATTTAGAAATAGGGATTCATTTATAGAGATGTACATGCCTGTTAGTACTCTTAAAGCTTTGGAGAGAATATCGAGGGATGCCTTATCAATTCTTTTTTCAATTAATCTTTTTATCATTTAGATTTTGGTGAGTCAGTATAACCTTAAGGAACCACCTTATAGAGCAAGGACTCTTAGATTCAATTGCAGAACATACAGACTTCTTGGAAATAGCAGGTGTCTGTTAAAATCAGAAAGGTGGTAGATGAGGGATTGTTAACCTGAAGCTCTCAGACACAGATTAGCAAAGGAAAAGATGCTACTTCCAAAGCCGGAGGTTGTGTTAGAGACTAGAAACCAAAGCATTTGGGTTGTAGATAGGAAGAATAAGAGCTGAGGGTAATCACCATTGTCGCAAGTTCAGTGCTTAAAAAATAGCAAAAGATTTTTAATAATAGTGATATGGATGTGTTGGATCTGGGAGCCCTTTGGTAATCATGATTTTATTTGATGGGGTTATTTTATAACTTTTACTGAGGTAGTTTGTTTTTAGATTTACAAAAAAATAGTTTATAGGGCCAGGTGCTCTGTTTGAAATTATGGTCATTTGATGGAAAGAAAGCATAAAAATAGTGTTTACAACTCTAAAGGAGAACTAAGTGAGGGATTTCTATTTTAGGAATAAGTTTCATAACTAGTAGATACTATGGCTCCTACTTAGGATTCTGAGAAGTGCAGAGCTATGTAAAGTGGTCTTAGTCTACTTGATATTTCAGTATTTAGAAAATAGAGAGAAATAAAGGGAGACAATATTAAAGAAAACTGCTTATATAGAGATGTAGGAAAAGACAAGGAAACAGGAAACACATGAACTTTCCATTGATATTCCTTTACTGATTGCAGACTGTGGGTAAGAGTAGCAAGATGCTGCAGCACATTGACTATAGAATGAGATGTATCCTGCAAGATGGAAGAATCTTCATTGGCACCTTTAAGGCTTTTGACAAGCATATGAATCTGATTCTCTGTGATTGTGATGAGTTCAGGAAGATCAAGTAAGGCTTGTTTGGATCATGGATTGGGAGGAAAAAGCTGGAATAAGATTGATAGGGCGACTGAATTAGATAAAGAAGGTGTGGATGGCCATGCAGTTATGTTACCCAATCCTTTCAGAATTGGATCAGATCCTTATGTTACATTCATGTCATTGCATACAAATAACGTTGGCAAAAATATAACTTACATTGTCAAATTTGATGTCAATAGTATTTGGTTATAATCTTAATGCACTTAGGATTTTGATATAAATAGTACTTTAGTTTCACTTACCTTAAAGGCTTTGTCCTATCATTTGCATCTATATTTTGCAGCAGATCATGTTGGGTATCTGTATATCAAGGGAGCAGACATAGGAAAATAATTTGTGCAAGTTAAAGAAGTCTACAGAGTAATTAGGCAATTAAACTTTTAATAATAGTGATATGGATGTGTTGGATCAGGGAGCTCTTGGGTGATCATAATTTCATTTAGTTGGGGTTATTTTACAACTTTTGTCTAATTGATTCTTTTGATAAGTAAGGATCACAAATTTATTTTACTGTTTTTTACTTCTGATTTATAGGCCAAAGAATGCAAAACAGCCGGAACGTGAAGAAAAACGTGTTTTGGGTCTGGTCTTGCTACGTGGAGAGAACTTGGTCTCCATGACTGTGGAGGGTCCACCTCCTAAAGATGTAAGGATGATGTAGGGCAAGATTGCCATGTTTCTGGTCTTCGATTTTTACTTCAAACGTGAATTATACAAGCCCATGGTACTTGGACTTAATGTCTTAGCAGGGCATATGGAGAAATACTATAATTACATGTAATCAAATAAAATGTGCCTAGTACTTAGTATAAGAGTTCAGATCTATACTTTAGGAAGTATATTTATGATTTCACAAACGTGCTGAGTAGAAGGTAGAAGTGAATTTTTATTGGGAAGGAAGTGGTCAAGGAATTAACAGTTCCCAGTTTTGGAAGTCTATATCCCAAATCTGTAAGGCACTCAGAAGTACTTTTTATTACCATTATATTTGTTTGCATATGGAGCTAATGGGAGCTAATTAGCTTGTAACATGATTGAGAATTAGTTCCTTGGGTAAAAATCACTTGTATTTGAACAAAACGGCCAAGTTTAAAGTTATACATTTTTGTTTCAGACTGGTATTGCTCGAGTGCCACTTGCTGGCGCTGCAGGTGGCCCTGGGGTTGGGAGGGCAGCTGGCAGAGGAGTACCAGCTGGTGTACCTATTCCTCAAGCTCCTGCTGGATTAGCAGGCCCTGTCCGAGGAGTTGGAGGTCCATCCCAGCAGGTAAGACCAGAACAAGGTTTGCTATTCATGATAAATTATGACGAGAGCATAGAACTGAGAAGATGAGCAATCAGAAAGCTATATCTATACTGTTTAAGTTTGATATGTTCTAGAAAGACTAATCCTTGATAACTAAGACACTTTGAATTCATGTGACTAATGAAATATGCAACTGTAAATGCCACGTCAAGAAAAATCAAAAGATGATAAAATGGCAATATGTCAAGATTTAAAAATATGAGGCTGAAAGTAGATATCTGAATTCTGATGGAGGGTTCAGAATTTTAGATAGGCTACATAGAAGGACTCTGTCTCCAAAGTAACAAACAACAAAAGAAACCTCCCCAAATGTACACAAATAAAACAAACCAGAGCAGCTCAGCAGGAATATGCATAGCATGTAAAAGCTTCTGGATTTATTCCTCATCAACTGAAAAAGAGAGTAATATAAATAACAAGATACAACAATTGTATCTGTAATAGGATTTATTCATTATTTCTTTCTATGTATTGGAAAACGATTGCATCCCTCATCTCTTTGTATTTTTGGCATAACTTTTCAGGTCATGACTCCACAGGGAAGAGGCACTGTAGCAGCTGCTGCAGTTGCTGCCACTGCCAGCATTGCTGGAGCTCCAACCCAGTACCCACCAGGGCGTGGAACTCCACCTCCCCCTGTAGGCAGAGCAACCCCACCACCAGGTAAGTCCTTTAGAACAAATAATTATTTGGATTTCCTACAGAGTCTATCATCATGAGGAAATAACATCTCAAAGTACTGTGTTTATTATTTCTTAGCCTTGCTAAGAACTTAGGAACTATGCTACTAGTTTTACTGTTATACATTTTTTATTGAAGATAGCTTTTCTAATGCAATATTCTGCTACTTTCCCCTCCCCAGCACCTTCGTACTTCCCCACCTACACAAATTGACATTTCTTCTGACTAGAATACAAGCAGGCATCACAAAAGTAGTATTAGAATAAAGTAAGATAAATTAAAACAAACACAATTAGTACTAAAAATCAAACAAATATAACAAATAACAAAAGGAAAAGTACAAGAAGCAAAAATGAACAAAGACAGAAACCATAATTTGTAAGCAAGCATTCTATGAAGTTAGAAATTTAATGTTCAGACAAAGCTTCATGAAGCAAACCCTCCCTCAGTACTATGAATCAGTTCTGTGTTGGCATCTATTGTTGGGCATGGCACCTGTTTTAAGTGGTTGGTACATCTATTGAGCCTTTTCATTTTTCTTGTGTAAGTGGTTTTGAATTAGGGCTAGCTCCTGGGGGGTATGGGAACTTGTGTCTGTGACTCTCAATGCTGGGATGCCCACATGCCTTAGACCTGCACAGGTTCTGGGTGCTACTACTGTTGTATCTGAGGGCCTTGTTTGATGTCTTCAATCCTCAATGACTCTTACAGTCCCTTTCTTTCCTCTTATTCTCAGTAAGTGGAACTTAAATTCAATCAAAAGTTTATTTACTCTACACAATCTTTGCCACTATTTACCAGTGTATCTTTCTGTCAGGTGACCGTTTTAGATCACAGGGTTTGAAGCTATATTGGCATTGGTATTTGTAAATGAAAGGCTAGAGTCTTTGGAATTAGGATGACACTGGGTTACAGGATAAGGACCTTCATTTCAGATGCACACACTTGCCTCATTTCTGGAACCACTATTTTGTGCTACACCATAAGAGCTTTAATGAGCTGACCTAAGGAGGGTTTATTTGTTATTTATTTTCAGGAATCATGGCCCCTCCACCTGGTATGAGACCACCCATGGGCCCACCGATTGGCCTTCCCCCTGCTCGAGGGACGCCTATAGGCATGCCCCCTCCAGGAATGAGACCCCCTCCACCAGGAATTAGAGGTCAGGGCCTGTGAATAACATCAGATCCTGTAATATTTATATGCTCTTGATAACTTCAATAGAATTTTATTATTTTTCCTTTCTAGGCCCACCTCCCCCAGGAATGCGTCCACCAAGACCCTAAGATGGCTGATAAATATCAGCCTTTACTTTTCCCTGCAATGCATCTTGTGAAATTGTGTAGCATGCACGCTTTTTGACCCCTCTTACTGCATTAATTATAGCTAATAAATACATAAGAGCAATTGAATTGAGGGTTTCTTTTGTCTGATTTTGTTAAAGTCAGAATGAAACTAATGTTTTATTGTGAAAGGTAAAAGTAGGCATGCAGTTTATTTACTCAAGCTAGTATCTTAGGATAAAATGGTTGTAATATTATTTCCTGATTCCTGCCTTTTCCTGCATTAACATGCTGCTTAAAATCTTAAAGTAAGATTGTGATTTGCTAAGATTAACATGGCACTGTGGTCACTTTAATATGTCACAATTAAAGGTTTGTGGAGAAACTTAATCAGATATAATTAAATTAACTTAAAGAAATTTTGGCAGTGGTATGTCTTTTATGATCATTAATTAAAACATTTGGAATCCAAGTTAGTGCTTTTCAAAAGGGGTGGCTTCAGTTGATTAGGGTTTACAGTTGTTGGTAATCAGTGTCTTATGGAAGACCTGATCTGAGAATTAAATCTATTATGGTAAGTTTCAATCTACTGATCCTAAATAAATGTTAGAGCCTGGTCATTGGATACAAGGTTCTGCGTGCTTGATATGGCACACTGAAATTCATATTAAGTTTGTGTCATCACCAATAGTGTGCTGTTGACTACAAGCATTGAGGGAACACATGATGACTTTGAGTTGTAAGTAAAGGAATTTTTTTATGGATAAATTTAATTTGAATTAGCCAACAAAGAAAAAAGCTGTTTTGCCATGGGAAGTGGTTTGTAATGGTGAGTGAATTACCTATTTTTTAATTAAAAATAATAATTAATACAGTGTATTTCCATCTTTGACATCTCACCTTCACTCTTAATTCTTCTCTTATACTCCAAACATGCTCAATTTCTTGACATTCTGTAATAACACACACACACACACAAGAAATCCCATGTACTGGGTCCATTTAGTTGCTTGTATGTACATAGGCTTAGATTCATCACTTGTTGTACTGTCTTTTCTATGGAGAAAATGATTCATCCTCTCTTAGTCAATGATGTTTCTCCATCTGTATGGTGTCTTGTGAAATTTCCAGTGTCAGTAGGACTGCTGATGGTCTTGTTTAAATAATGTTGTTGTTAAATAATATTGTTGAGATGTAACTTCACTGTCATGCCTAGACTTGCTAAGTCACCTCCCCCATTCAGAGGCTGGTAACAGGAGGCTCTGAGATTTGGGCATGAGTGATAGCAGTATATTTGAAGAAAGTCTATTGTCTGAATAATGACCTAAAGGTAGCCTCCCCTTTTCTTTTTAAGATACCCTGATTGTTGGAGGCTCAGCTTATAAAGATCATGCTAATGACTACCATTATTTTTTTGCTTATATTCTGGGAATTTCATGTTTATCCTGTACTCATGGTAATTGTGTATTATAGACTATGATAAAAATTTTTATTAAGATTTTTGTATGTATTAAAAATATGCAACAACATGACAGTATTTAAGATACTCTGTATGTACTTCTGATGTTCAAGTTAGGAAGTTTGATACAGGGTCTCATGTAATATAGTCTCACCTCCGACACCTTATAGGCAAAGATGACCGTAAGTAAGCTCTCATCCTGCCTACTCAGCTTCTTAAGTCGTAGTATTTAGTATAAGCATTTCTGCCATTACCTACTTTATTATAATTCTTATAGATTTATTTATTATGCATATAGTGTTGTGCCTGCATTTATACATGCAGGCCAGAAGGCACCAGATCTCATCATAGATGGTTTTGAGCCAAAATGTGAGTACTGGGAGTTGAACTCAGGACCTCAGGAAGAGCTCATTTAGTTTTTTCCTGTCCTTCCCTTTCTCTCACCCTTCCTCCCCTCCCTCCCTCCTATCTTCCTTTCTTCTGAGACAGGTTTTCTCTATATCCCTGACTGTCCTGAAACACTCTGTAGACCACACTAGCCTTGAACACATATACTTGTCTATGCCTTCCTAGTGCTAATATTGAAGGCATGTACCACCCACCACTGGGTGAAGTCAGTTGCATTGGTGTGCCCCAGCATTAGGAAAGGAAGTCAGTGAGATGAATAGTAGTTCACATTCATATATATATATTCATATATTATAGTGAGTTATAGGACAGCCTTGGATAGGTAAATTGCTGTCCCAAAATAAGAAAATTTCAAATGTTATTGTGGAAACTGTTTACTTTTCAACTTATAAGTCCTTAGTTATGATCTGATCAATTTTTGTTAAAAGACTGATACTAATATATTGGGAACAGTTTAGAGACAGTGAGTTGTAATAACTTTTAGCATGTTTAGTAGTTGTCTGGAAATTTCAGTCTTGTCACCGTGTCTACCATCTACTTACCTTGAAAAGGGTTAATAGATGTTATGTGGCGATTCTTCATCATTACATTCTGTTTCATATTTGTGTGTCATTTCAGATTATGTGTTTTGTAAAATGTATTAAGACATGCTGTTTTTTGCAGAACAGTATCTAGTCTTTAAATAGGTGTATACTTATGTTCATGTTATTTCAGTATCAGGTGATGTCCTTTTGTCGAATTACTTGATGACTGAAAAGAGAATTTCATCAATGAATGTTAAGAAGTTTCATGAGCCTGAATACCACCCTGTAGTATTATAACAAGACTATAAATCCTAATAGCTGCATTTAAAACAGAAACATAAACCATGCAAGGTAATGTAATCTTTTGATTTAAAAAAAACCGCATTTTACAGAGAGGCCTTGACTGGATTTATGATGATATAGGACCTTGTCTGATCAAAATGATTTTAAAAAATGAGCTTAAAATAACTCTGAAATCTAGTCAGTGTGCCTCATTACATATAAAATTGCTTATCCTCAATAGAAATTATTTGTTTAAATGGGCATGCTGGTATAGACTTGTAATTTCAGCCCTCGATTGGCTGATGTGAGGATTACAAGTTCCAGGCCAGCCTAGTATGCATAACAAGATGCTGTTGTATACATTGTATGCTAAGAACTGGAAAGTACACAATTGCACTTTTATATTATACCATATCTTTTCATAAATGTTTTGAGATAATTTGTTTTCTGCATTTTGTATTTTGTTGCAAGCAAAACATGAAATGTCCGTGGATCACAAAAGGCATAGGCACCTGTTGATATGGAAATAAGAATGTGTAAAAATGGAGCTCCCAAGTCTTGAAAAATGGCACGTATCATTGTTGATTTTGTAAGTGATATCAATCAGGAGGAAAGGGTAATGTTTATGGAACATTTCCATTGTGGAATGCGGTGAGTATAAGAGCCTGTTCTGATGTCTGCATTTGATTACCTTGGTCAGATCCACATCATGGTAATGTTACCACAAAATTAGTTAACGAATAAATATAGTAGTTATGTTAGAAATGTTCAGAATTAAGAAGTAAGGTTTAGGTATTATTTCACTTTCTTTCAGTAAGAGTATTAAGAACCCATGATTTTGTAGCTGAGTCCATGCTCCAATATTAAAGCTGGCTATTTTTACCACTTAAATATTTCCCAGTATTTTGGTATTTTCTATATATTTGTAGGAATGTTTTAGTAATCTTTGTAAAGTTCCTGGAGATAGAACGCAGATTGTCAGGCATTGCAGCACATACCTTTACACCTACAGCCATAACACTGGACACTGGCATAGTGGCTTTTAGCTGGAAGGATAGCTATTAAGTTATCAAAGTGAAATTACTGCTTCCTTAGCCATATGCTGGCATATCTATTTGCTTATTCTTCTATCCATCCGTCCATCCGTCATCCGTCCGTCCATCCATCCATCCATCCATCCATCCATCCATCCATCCATCCATCCATCTTCATCTACTTATTTAATGATTGATTCAGTTATTGATTGGCTTCTTGATCTATTTAATTATTGCTTTACTGGTATATGAATTGATTATGTATAGCTTTCTGGTCCTTGATTTGTTTGGCTTTTTGATCTATGTATAGATCTATGTATTGGCTTCTTGGCATTTTTAGTAGCTGACTGATTTATTTATCTATGTATTTACTCAGGGCTTTCATTATTTATTTATTATTTATTTATTTATTTTTAATTTACTTAATGACTAAAATTTATTTATTGCCTTTCTTGCCTATAGGTTGATTGGCTTTACTTATTGGCTTGCTGTCATTCATTTTTCTTATTACAAATGTATTTATCTGATTACTCATTAACTTATTTGATTAATTAGCTTCATGGTCTAATTATTGGGTTGCTGGTATTTGTCTACTGACTTTATTTGCTTTCTTGCACTCACATTTATTATTTTTTTATCTGTCTATCATCAGTCTGTCTTCTTCATCAGTTTATTTAATGATGCAGTTATTGGCTTCTTGATCTGTTAGCTTGTTGGCACATTTCTATTTATTGGCTTCTTGATCAATTTATGGCCTTTCTTGCCTATTGGTCAGTTGATTGGTTTATTGACTGACTTATTGCCTTGATCTAATTGAAAATCGATTTATTTACTTGCTAACTCTTTTAGCTTGGTTGCTTGCTAGCCACTTGATTTGTTTATTTATTCTCTTTCCTGAGTGTTGGTTGGTATTTCTTGATTTGATTGCTGGGATATCTATCTACCCGCCTACCTATATACTTACCCACTAACTTATTTATTGGTGATTGATCTGTTTATTTATTTGCTTGGTTGCTTCCTAGCTTCTTAATCTTTTTATTCCCTTTCTTGAGTATTGGTGGCGGTATTTCTCTTGGCTTGCTGGGATATTTATATTTACTTACTATTTTACTGTACATTTTATCTATTTAATGATTTTACTTACCAACTAGCATATTTATTCATTCATTTATTTGTTTGGTGATTAAGCTGTTTATTTATTGCCGTTTTTAATCTATCGGGATGTGGCACATTTATTTACCCACTAACTTATATCTGTTTATTGATCTATTTAATGATTTTGTTACTTACCCACTAACTTTGTACATATGAATTATTTATTTATACATTTGTATCTTCATTGCCTGTCTTATCAGTCAATTGATTATTTATTGTCTTGCTCTCATTTATTTATTTACTTATCCACTAACTTATTTATTGTACATTTGATCTTTAATGATAAATTTACTTACTAGCCTATTTATTTGTGGATTAATTTGGTTATTTAATGCTATCAGAATGGTGAACCTTATTGACTTGGCACATTGATTTACCCACTAACTTCTTTATTGTACATTCTATATGTTTATAATTTTACTTACACACTTACCTATTCATTTATTTATTTACTAGCCCATTAACTTATTTATTGTACATTTGATTAAATGATTTTGCTTCCTTACCAACTAATTGTTACATATTCATTTTATCTTTATTTAATGCATATTATATTCATTTATTTATTTACTAGCCCACTAACTTATTTGTTCTATTTAATTATTTTGCTTACTTACCAACTAATTTATTGTATACCCATGTTATCTCTACCTATGTATCTATCTTTCTATCTATCTTTCTTTCTATATCTATCTATCTATCTATCTATCTATCTATCTATCTATCTATCTATCTATCTCTATTGTAGTCCTGAATACTTTTACCTTTTTTTTTACCTACTAGGGGCTTTATTTATTTGTTTGCTTATGTGCTAACCCACTAACTTATTGTACATTTGATCTATTTAATGATTTTGCTTATTTACCAACTAACATTGCATACTCATGTTATTTATTTTATCTATTTATTTCATGTTCTATCTATTTAGTAATTATGTACTAACCCATTAACTTATTATTGCACAATTGATCTATTTAATGATTTTGCTTACTTACCAAATAACTTATTTATTACATACCCATGTTATCTCTTTACTGCTTATTCACTTATTTATTTATATATATATTTATTTATTTCCTGAACACTATTGCCTTTTACCTACTGAGGACTTTATTTACTTCTTTATTTCTTGTTTTACATTTGATCTATTTAATGATTTTTTTGATTAATTATCAACTAACTTATTTATTGCATATCCATTTTATTTATTTACTGTATGTTTTATTTATTTATTACGTACTAACACACTAACTTATTTATTGCACATTTGATCTATTTAATGATTTAGCTTACTTACCAACTAAATTATTTATTGCATATCCATTTTATCTATTTATTTATTGCATGTTCTATTTATTTATTCATTTATTTATTTTTGTTTATTTATTGTAGGCCTGTATGTTTATTGCCCTTTTTACCTATTTATTTATTTATGTACTAATATACTAACTTCTTTGTACATTTAATCTGTTTAATGATTTTGCTTACTTACCCGCTAACTTATTTATTGCTTACCCATATTTATTTATTGCATTTTCTATTTATTTATTTATTTATTTATTTATTTGCTGTAGTCCTGAACTCTATTGCCTTTTTTACCTACTGGGGGCTTTATTGTATTTATTTATTAATTTATTTAATCATCTGCTAACCTACTTTCTATTCATTTATTTATAGCTATTTATGTATTGTAGTCCTGTAAAGTTTATTGCCTTTTTTGTATATCTAAATTTATTTATTTATTTAATAGCCCACCAACTTATTTATTGTACATTTGATCTATTTATTTACTTTATTGTACATTTGATCTATTTATTTATTGTACATTTGATCTATTATGGTTTTGTTACTTACCCACTAACTTATTTGTTTAACTATTGTATATCTAAAACATTTACTTATTTACTTATTTATTGGTATCTTAATGTGTTCATTGCCTTTCTTATCTATCATGGATTGTTATTTACTATTCAGCATATTTATTAACTTACGTACTGACTAACTTATTTATTGTTCATTTAATATATTTAATGATTTATTAATTTATATACCCACTAACTTATTTATTTCTTGTTAATTAATCTGTTTATTGCCCTTTATTTTAACTATCATGGAATGAATATTTATTGACTTGTAGCATTCACTTATTTAACTACTGACTTATTGTACATTTGTTCTATTTATTTTGCTTACTTACCCTCTAACTTATTGTACAGTTGATCAATTTAATGACTTTACTAACTTATTGCATATTTATTTATTCATTTATGTATGTGTTTACACACCCACTAATTTATTTATTTTACATTTGATCTATTTAATTTTGCTTGCTTTATCACTTATTTATTGCATATTTGATTTATTTATTTGTTCCTTGATCTGTTCATTGCTTTTCTTATCTGGCAGTGGATTGTTTTGATGTTATTTATTGACTTGCTGTCTATTTATTTATATACTTACTTACCCACTAAATTATTTATTTACCCACTAACTTATTTATTTACTTACCCACTAACTTATTTATTTATTTACCCACTAACTTATTTATTTATTTATTTGCTTATTTATTTATTTATGTACTTACCCATTAACTTACTTATTTACCCACTAACTTATTTATTTATTGACCCACTATCTTATTTATTTATGTACTTACCCATTAACTTATTTATTTACTCACTGACTTATTTATTTACTTACCACCCACTAATTTATTTATTTATGTGCTTACCCACTAGCTTATTTATTTATTTGCTTATTTATTTGCTTATTTATTTATTATGTGCTTGCCCACTAACTTATTTATTTATTTACCCACTAACTTATTTATTTACCCACTAACTTATTTGCTTGTTTATTTATTTATGTACTTACCCACTAACTTATTTATTTATTGACCCACTAACTTATTTATTTACTGACCCACTAACTTATTTATTTATTGACCCACTAACTTATTTATTTACTTACCCACTAACTTATTTATTTATTTACCCACTAACTTATTTATTTATTTGCTTATTTATGTACTTACCCATTAACTTACTTATTTACCTACTAACTTATTTATTTATTGACCCACTATCTTATTTATTTATGTACTTACCCATTAACTTATTTATTTATTTACTCACTGACTTATTTATTTACTTACCATCGACTAATTTATTTATTTATTTGCTTATTTATTTATGTGCTTACCCACTAGCTTATTTATTTATTTGCTTATTTATTTATTTATTTATTTATGTACTTGCCCACTAACTTATTTATTTATTTACCCACTAACTTATTTATTTACCCACTAACTTATTTGCTTGTTTATTTATTTATGTACTTACCCACTAACTTATTTATTTATTGACCCACTAACTTATTTATTTACTGACCCACTAACTTATTTATTTATTGACCCACTAACTTATTTATTTACTTACCCACTAACTTATTTATTTATTTACCCACTAACTTATTTATTTA